GCCCGGGCAACAGCTACACAACAGAGGACCGGGTCATTCCTGAAGCCACTCTGCCCAGGCTGGTTCCCAAATGTTTCAGGAATGTCAGAACCAGAATCTCAAGTATCTGGCTGTGAGCTCTGTCTGTGGGGTCAGATTTTCTAAGTTCCAATTCTTGCTCTGCTATTTTCTGAGTGTAACAAGCTGAATCAATTCCCCTGAAACAGATATGTCAATATCCTAACCCCAGATATCTGTAAATGTGACTTTATTTGGACATAGGGTCTTTACAGAAGTAGTCAGGTTAAAATGAAATCATTAGAGTGTCTTTATAAGCAGACAGGCTGGCAGAGGCCAGTAATCCCAGCTACTTGAGAGGCTAAGACAGAAGAAAGATCACAAGTTCAAGGCCAGCCTGAGCAACCTAGCAAGACACTGTCTAAAATTAAAGGGCTAGATATGTAACTTGGGAACAGCCCCTAGTACCAGAGTAAAAAAATCCAAATGGACTCAGAACACTTTGAGGGCTGAGGAAATAGCTCAGCAGCATAAGTGTCTTAGTGGCAAGCACAAGGTCATGAGTTCAATCCCTGGTATAAAAAAAAGTATATACTCTAGGACCAAATAAATACTATAAATGAGTCTGTCAAATACAATTTAAAATGGACTTTGCATAATTCCACCTCAAACCCACCACCACACACAGCAGCAATATCTTTGAAAGGAATATATCCATACTAACATTTGTGCACAAGGGTTTAGGCAGTATTATTCATAATAAGCCAAAACTGGAAATAATTTACATGATCACCAACTGATGAATGGATAAACAAAATATGGTAATTCACTCAACAAAATATTATTTGGCCATTAAAAAGAATGCAGTACCAAAACATGCTATTGTGTGGATAAGCTTTCATTCATAAGCCACATTCATAGGTACACACTCAAACTCAACAACATATAAAAACTCAGCATTGTAGTATGGCAATCATACCTCAACAAAGTGTTTTTATTTATTTTTTAATGTATTTAGTACAGGGTCTACAAGTTCTCAATACACAGATCGAAGTAATAGTGATCTTCCTGTTTTTTAGCCTCCCAAGCACTGGGGTTACAGGTGTGTACCACCACACCCAGTCTCAATCAATGTCTCAGCATACCCCAGGGTCAGGGCCAGCACAGCATTCTGGGGATTGAACCCCAGTCCCTGCATCTGCCTTAGCAAGTGCTTTGATCTGCTGAGCTATCTGGCTGGCCCAACAAAGTGTTTTTAAATATACATTAAGAGACGCTAGACACAAAATATTGTCAGTTATAAGATGCCATTTGCAGAAAAAGGGAATTTATAGGGTCAGAAAATAGCTGAGTTGTTGCACGGGGTGTGGAGTGACAGGTGAGGTCAGGAGATGATGGCTAAAGGGTATGGAATAGAGCTTCTTTGGGGGATAATAAAAATGTCATAGGGCTGCAATGGTGAACCTTTTAAAGCTTTTAATGATACAAATAACCCACTGCAGCATGCATGCCACAGGCTTGCCACCAGTGTTCTAGGGGCTAGGTGCAGTTTAGCAGTATAGCACATGCTTAGCATGCATGAGGGTTCAATCATAAGCCCAGAGGAAGAAAGAAGGGGGGAAAGAGAGAGAGAGAGAGAGAGAGAGAGAGAGAGAGAGAGAGACAGAGACAGAGACAGAGACAGAGACACAGAGAGACAGACAGACGAGAGACTACTAAACACCATTGTCTGTGAATATCCTTTACATGGAAGAAAAATATGATATATAACTTATAGCTCAACAAAGCTATATAAATAAAGAAAAATCATCCCAAGCAGTATTTCAGGAGTCCTAACAGCATATGAGGCCTGGTACAAGCACTTATGTCCCTGGATTTAATCTTCACCTCAACTCTCCCTGCTCCCCACCGAGTGCCCTTATTAACTCCATATACCAGGTAAGACACTGAGGATCAGAGGAATCACAGAATGTGCCACGGGCTGGGGCAGAGACTCAGTGTGCTTGGAGGTGCCTGACTCTGTAACCAGTACCCATTTGGGAGACAGATAATCTAGAATCCACACAGACAATGCCCCCCAGCCCCCACCTCACCCCCACATTTCTTGGACCTGTCATTCAAAGGGAGAAGGACTCTCCCCAACCTTGGAGGCTTGAGGTGTCTCTGTTGTCAAGATTGTTTTTGCCCGGTACTAGCAGCTCATGATCTGACTCCAAGGATGCAGAATGCCGTCAGGAAAGTGGACAGATGCCCAGCCCCACCCTACAAAAGCAAACTCGGCAGGGATTTAGAGAGCAAGGCTATTCATTCAATTAGTTGCTCTTTTAAAGAGAAAGAGAAAACATAACTTTAAAAAACTAAACTTTAGTCATTTGTGTGAACTTTTGAGCAAGAGAGGTGCTTTGAATCTCAAGTCAGTTTTGTTCAACAAAAGCCAAAGGGCCGGCTCCTCCACCGCTCACTGGCGAAAACAGCTGAGTTCATCTGAAACCTTCCAGCATCTGACCCACACTGACAGCAAGTGTTTAGCTGGGAAACAAAGGGGACATTAAGTGCAGAAAATCCCTTTGTGCCTACACAGCCTGAAGTTATGTGGAGTTCTGCAGCTATTTGGAGGACAATAATGTTTTGTAAATAGTAAAGTAGTTTGGTTAGAGGTGTTGCTGTGCTTGACTTGGGACCACAAGGAGTGCACAGAAGATAAGATGGCAGGGCTGTGACTATCCCTCTGAAAAATATGAGTGACTTAAATTAACACAGGTACAGGTAATAAATATTTGAAAACTGGGGGTTTTATTGTACCCACAGGCAGCTGTACATTAATACCTGAGACTGTTAACAGTGAAGGAGTAAACTAAGCCCTGCCTTTGTTTATAGAGCACACAACTTACACAGTACACTTCCTACACTCTGACAAAGGCAATGCTAGTGGGTCACTAACCCTACAGACACCGTCTGGAGTGCTGCATTATTGGGCATGTTGTATTTTAAGGTGCAATGACTGTAAACATTTTAAATTTACATTTATTAACCCCGTTTAATACTTCATTTTTCATTCTACAGTGATGGGTCTCAGCTTCACAGCCAAGAACCAGGGATCCCTGACTGTCCCAGGTGAGAACAGATTCTCTCTTCTATTGAATGCAAGAAAAAGAAAGACAGAAAGAAAGATTCCTCAGGTCTCAAAATATGAGAGCTGCCAGGAGCCTTTGACCAAGATCATTATTTATATTTTTCTGCCATTTATTGTCTGCATGGTATGGACTGAGCCCTCTACTGCACAACACGAACAGAGTCACTTCTAATCCTCACAACAACTGTGGGAAGTATGTGTAACCAACCTCATTGTACACAATAATAAAGAAACTGAGGCTCAGAGAAGTTCAGTGACTTTCCAAGGACACACAGCAGAGCATCAAGGACCCAGTTCTTCTGACACCATGTGGCTGAATCTCTTCGCCACCCACTGAGTCCCACCCCCACAACACAGAAGGAGAGTCACTGCTGCAGGCACTACTAACAGCAACAGCAGTAGCCAGGCTGATGGAGCATTCCATCTGCGTCACTCCCTGTACCAGGAACTTGGCATAAATTGACTCATTTCCTCCACAGACATATTGCCAGGATTTGGGAACCAGGTGATCCTCACCTTGGAGATGAGAGCGGAAGCTTATAGAGGTTAAGTGACTTGCCCCCAAGGTCACCCAACTAGCCCCATTGTGGAGCTGCGATATGATCTGGGCCTGTCCCTAACTCTCTGCTATCCTGGGATCTTCTGTGTGTAACAGCACAAAATGTACAGATGATTTTTGTGGTGCCTTTTAATTCTTTATCCAGCTATAAATACTTATGCATATGATGCATAGAGTAGGGTCCAATAGGACACACATGCACATAGAGCCACGGATATGAAAGTCCTTCCAAGAATGCTGGGGTTGCACAGCTAGGGGGTGGAGTGGAGCAGATGAGGTGGATTCTAACACTTTCAATATATTCATTTATGAGATCTTGTGTGATACAAAAACTGCTGTATGAGGTGGGTACCTACTGTGTACCTGGCATGTGCATTACCTTGCTTACTCCTCAGTAAAATCCCACAGCATTGCTCCTTATTTTCCTAAGCACAGAAGAGAAATTCCAAGAGGCAGTATAACAGATCCAAGAAGGAATTCCAGGTTGACCTATGCCAGTGCAAAGACCACTAGTACAGAAGCCCAAGAAATAGGTTCAGTCCCAGATCCAAAACTTGCTGCACAACATTGGTAGGTTGCAAAGCTACTGTGAGTCTACCCTGAGAACCCCATGCCCAGGCCCACCCTACAAACTCACCCTTCTCTTCTCCCATTCCAACTTCCTTGAAGAAGAAGAGAGGTGGTGTTAGAGGGAGGAGCACCCTGCGGGTCTCAAAGTTAAAACTGAGGCTCTTTGCCCTGACTCCATCTCTCTCAAGGTACAGAACTTGGGACCACCTCTCCACCTGGATGAGCCTCACTTTAAAGGCTAATGAAAGAAATAACATGTGTGAATACTTAGAACTCTAAACATTCAATGAATGGCAGCTATCACATCAACATCACCATCATTACTATGACACCGGTAGACTGGCCCCGATCTTATTTTCTGGCAGAGGAATCTGAAGGGAGAGACAGTAAAGTTCAACAAGGGGAGGATGCTAGGTCACTAGTCAGGGATTCCAGAAGTTCTGTAAAGGTGGGAGGGGACAGCCAGGCTGAAGAGTCATTGGTAGCTCAATAATTCTCCCCCTTCTCTTTCCCACTATAGTCAACCTGAGTCCTTCCGACTATCATATGAGGGGGCTGGTGAGATAGCTCAGTGGTCTAAAGTGCCTGCTTAGGCAAGCTTAAGCAAGCATGCAGGGACCGCGGTTCGATCCCCAGCACCACATGCCATGCCAGCCCAACCCCCAAGGTGGGCTGAGCTGACCATTAAAAATAAAAAAATAAAATATCATATGAGGGGCCCAAGGGTGAGGGGGCACTCACCGCCATGACCAGTTCAAATGGGTACTTGTAGACACGGACAGGAGACTGGTATTTCTGCACCATGTTCCCACTCCAAAAGCACACAGGCAGGGCTGAGTACAGAGCCTGGGGCAAGGGATGACTGGTAAGGTTGCAGCTCCCCTTTCATGAAGCAGAACCCTGCCCGTGGATGCAAGGGCAAGCCCAGCCCCTTGGTCACACCCACACTTTGCCCCAGCCCTCTGCTCAAAGAAAGAGGCTAATGCAATTCCCAAACTACTCCAGGCCAGGCCTTAGACACTTGTCCTGTCCATGGCCCACGGCCCCAAACCACATTTACCCCTCCAAGAGCAGATACCACTCCACACATTCCTCTATTACCTACCACCCCTCCACCATGAGGACCCCAGAAGCACCCCTCACCACACCCAGAAGAAAACACACACATATTTGCAATTCTTACATTCCCACACTACTCTTCAAAAATATGCCCCACAGCTTGCCATAGACTCCTGACCCCATAGCCCTTCAAGTATCCTTAGGCTTGCCCTCCTTTTTTCTTTCAAAACACAAAGGCATACATACGGCCTTCATCATTTTCACCTGCACTGTCTCTGCCACACGCATGCACACGTGCATGACACTCCACCCACACGAGACCGCCCTTACACTCACACAACTTTGCACCCACACCCAACTCACTGGAGCACACACCTACCCAACTCCTTGCACACACGCAATTCTCATGTAGTGTACAGACGTTCATATATATTCGAGAAAACACACACGCACACACACACACATGCACACCCACACGGAAGCACGCACATACTAAATGCAGGCACAGACATCAGCAGCTCAGCTCACCCTCGCCCTAGAAGCTACTGGAGACTCAGCCCGGGTGCAGTGTCCTGGGAACTCGCCTGGTCCGGGGTCTAAACTAGCCGAGAACTCAGCGGTTGCCTGGCTGGGACCGAAGCACAGAGACAGTCTTACTGCAGCAGCCAGACGTATGGCGTTGGGTCCTGCACCCCGTGTGGTCCCGCCAGCAAGGGAGGGACCCAAAGGAGGGACCCCAGGGCGGGAGCGAGACCCGCTGAGCTTGGAGAGCTCCAGTACCCCGGACAGCGGAGATCTCTGCCTAGCCGGGCTCCGGCCAGGCCACGCCCACACCCAACTCTACCTTACCCCATGACTGGTCCTGGCCCAGCCTGGCCCCTCCTGCTCTGATTCCGTCCCGCCCCTTAATGTACTTGTCTCCTGTTTGACTCCGCCTCCAACTCGGCCCTTCCTCGGAGTCAGCCACCCTACCTCATGGCCCCGCCCCTATTCTGGCCCCACCCCCAAGGCACCCCGCCTGGGGAATAGCTCAGCCCCGAGACTCCCCTTAGCCTGCGTCCCAGGGTCCCCGCCTCTCCCAGAGCAGTTTCCGATCTACTGTAGCACTGCACGCGTTTTCCGTAGCTCCGATTAACTTGGTCTCCACCCGTTGCACTCTGGCCTGTGTCCGCTACTCCCCAGGGCCTGTCGTTCTCCTGCCCCAGCCCCCTCCATGCATCATTCATTCACTCCACGCACTTTTACAGAGCGTCCCTTTGGTGTCCGGCCCCCTCTAGAGTTGGAGAGTAAACAAAATAGCACACCGGATCAATGACCTTGCCTCGTGGAGTTTACGTTACAGTAGGGAAACAGACACTCTATAAATAAGGCAAATTCAGGATGTGAAATGGTAAGGGGTTCAAGCAGGGAAGGCGTTTAAGCAGGCAGGGGTGGGGAGGATGGCATTTGCCTCGTCACCCTCAACTTGGGTCACATCCAAGCATTGCAGCCCTCCCGGGGTCGCGGGGAGGGAGGCGCTTTCTTCCCATAACCCCTGCCTTCCATTCCCCAGCTATATGGCCCACAGGCACCAATGAGGGGGCTCTGGATAGCATTTTCATCCAAGTCCTCATTGCAAGCACCTACTCTGTGTACTCTGTGCCGGGTCTGGAGCCCCTCTCCCATGGAGAATCAGAAGGTCACTCCTGCCCACCAGTAGGGGCGGAGCGTGGGTGGGCCAAAGGCACAGCCATTGGGGTCGGGGCCGGCGAGGTAGCTCAGGGGTCTAAAGCACCTGCTTAAGTAAGCTTAGGAAACTGGAGGGACCGCAGTTCCATCCCCGGCACCGCATGCCACCCCAGCCCCGCCCCCAGAGCAAACTGACAGCTGTCTGGTCGCAAATACTTCACTGAGCTTTGCAGTAACCCGCTCCTGTTCTCCCCCACCCTCAGCCTGCATCACGCCCCAATCCTTGTGCTCATTCAGTGACTTTTATCTAGGTGTAGATTTCTGGCCATCCTTCTCCACAGACCGTGACTGGGATCAAACGCCATCCTTGCCTCTGTGTTCACAGGATCTCACTGAGGACTTGGAAGGAGAGAGCTAGCCTTCTGGGTTCAGGATGGAAATGGGGTATAAAGCTCCCATTTCAACCACAAGGTGGCAGCAAAAGACAGTCCACAGTTCCTGGTGTCGCCACAGAGCGTATTGCTAGGTGGCCTGGGGTCCTGAGATCATTGGCCCTGGTCAGGTTCATCCAGGGAACTCGCAGCTCCATCTGGAGGTCACCGCATGGCACACAGTGAACACCAAAACTGTTAGCTGATGCTGCCAGCAAAAAAAGTAAGTCAGCACCTCCTCTCTGTGCTGCGCCTTCGGGGAGGAGGTGGCTGTGTAGGGAAAGGGGTGTGTGATGCCTTGACATGCAGCTCAGGGCAGATATTGAGGCACCAAGGAGAGTGAGAGCTTCGTTCTCTCCTCCTCCAGCCCCAGAGCAGAGAATTAATAACATCATCACCACCTACCACGTGTCATCTATTCTTAGCCATGTTCCTCTAATTATTCCCACCTCTATTTTTGTTAGGGTTTTTTCTCCTTCCTGCCTTCCTTCCTTCCTTCCTTCTCTGTCTGTGTGTGTGTGTGTGTGTGTGTGTGTGCGCGCGCAAGGGGTAGCCCCAGAAAAGCACTCCACCCTGCACTTCCAATCCCAGGCACCATTCTAAAGACTTACAAACATTAATGCATTCAATCCTCCAAACAACTCCTGTAAATTATGAAAAGAACTTGGGGGACTGAGGAGATAGCTTGATGGTCTAAGTGCCCACCTGGCAAGTGCAAGGACCCAGGTTCAATCCCAAGCACTGCATGCCGTGTACCAAATAAATAAATAAATAAAATAAAATAAAAAAAGAACTTGATAGAAATTGTGGCACAACGATTGTGAATGCCCTAAATGCCTCCAGTCTGTACACATTAAGATGATTAATTCTCAGGGCTGGGGAGATAGCTCAGTAGAATAAGTGCCTGCCTGGCAAATGCAAGGTCCTGAGTTCAATCTGCAGTACTGAGAAAAAGATGTTGGTCTTTTTTTTGTTTTTCTTTTTTTTTTTTCCTAGTACTGGGGATTGAACTCAGGACCCTGTCTGTGCCTGCCAGGCAAGCGCTTATAAGATGGTTAATTCTATGTGTTGTAACTTTCACCTCAATTTTTTTAAATGTCTTAAAGGTAAAAACCGTATTAGGATTTTACAAGTCAGATGAGAGACTTGCCCCAGGTCGTGCTGCTAATGAAAGACTCAGGCCCAGGACTATGGTTCTCTGGGGTCTTCTCCCACCACAGATGCAGCTGAAATGCCCAGAGGATGCAATGTTCAAGCCCATCTGCAGGCCACCCAGCACCCTGGGCCCAGATGGGGAGGTCCTGGAAGGACAGCCTGGTCCCCCGGAGATGTTGGGGCTTGGAGTCAAACTCAAGGCCTGATCTTCAGCCCTGCCCTACAGGAACAGCCCAGCCAAAGCTGCCTTGTGAGGAGGCAGAATGTCTTCCCAGCAGATGGGCCACTGGCCCAGGAAATTCAACCATTAGGAACGTAATATTTGATTAAAACATGGGACCCAATCCAGATTTGATGCTGTATGGGCATTCTGCAGTAAGACACTTAGTGTGGCACCAAGAACAGAAGTTAGGAGTGGGCAGGGGTGAGAAGGTCCAAGGCCCAGCCCCTTGGGAAACAGGAAAAGCCCTCAGACTGGGCCTTGGATACACGCGATCCCCGAGGCAGTGCTGAAGCTGGAGAGACCGGGCCAGCCAGGTGAGTTCTTCCACCTTTTTGTGTTCCAGTACTAGAGACTGAACCCAGGGCCTTGCAAGGAGCTGCATCCCCCACCCTTCTTTATTCTTTTAAGTTCTGAGACAGGGTCTTGCTAAATCACTGAATGACTCAAGCTGGGCTCAAACTTGCAATCCTCCTGCCTCAGCTTTCAAGAGTACTGGAATTCCAGGCATCTGTCACCATGCCTGCGCTCCCGTCTTATTGTGGTCAAGCACTCATAAAAATTACCTTTCTAACTGTCTCTTAGTGTACAGGTCAGTGGTTGGTACATTCATGAGGTTGTGTCATCACCACCACTGTCCAGTTCAGAAAGGATGGATGCCCACACCCAGTAAACCATTGATCTTCTTTCCTGCCTCCCCCATCCCCATGACCATTCATCTCATTTGTCCCTGGCAGTCTCTAAAGTGTGCCCTTTCTCCCCAGGCATCTCCAAGAGGAAGCCACATGACAGCGACACCATTACCCCTGCTATAGACAGTATTTCCAGTGTAATTTTTATCTATCCAAGCAAAATATCCATACCAAGATTTGCCATGAAACCGTTAAGACCATGTAGCACATCCTGCTTTCCTGCAACTACCATGGCCATCAATCTCCAAAACGCTGCCATCTTGTTAAACGGGGATGCCACATTTCTCAGTTACCTTCCCATGTCCCATCCCCATCCCTGGCAACCACCCTGCTATTTTATATCTCTAGAACATTGAGGGTCATCAGGCAGGGCTGCTGTGTACAGATGTGCAGTTTGTTAACTATACAACTCTATGCAGTGGTCCTTGTCGTTGGGCAGACTTAAGTGGGCAGAGGCTGAGTCTGGGGAGTTTGACTCACCCTGAACTCCCAGCCTGTCCCCATGTCAGCTCATTCCCACAGAGGGTTCCAGGTTCCACTGTGTCACCTGCCCAGGGTCCAAAGGTCATATCCAGTAGGGAATAAAGGGCCAGGTCTTGCAGAGCAGAGGCACCCTTGGAGTGGAGAGAAGAGAGCAGAGCAAGGGAATCCTGGGGGAGTCAGCATGGTACTCTTGGGTGGGGGAGGTTCCATGGTCAGGCGAGTGCCTGGTGCACCTTCTGGCCATTACTCCCAGCTTTCAGCCACAGTGTCCCCTCCTCTAAAGTGGAGTAGCGTGAGTATTGTCCAGTCTCAGGAATCACTGACACACATACTAGCAGGAGGCCTATCAAATGACACTGTGCTGAGTGATAGACACCAGCCACAAAAGGACAAGTGCTGCTGGGCTCTGCTTACTACACCAGGTTCCCAAGAGGCCAGAGTCTTAGAGACAGAAAGTAGCAGGGTGGTTGCCAGGGATGGGGATGGGACATGGGAAGGTAACTGAGGAACGTGGCCTCCCCGTTTAACAAGATGGCAGTGTTCTGGAGACAGATGGCCATGGTAGTTGCAGGAAAGCAGGATGTGCTACATGGTCTTAACGGTTTCATGGAAAATCTTGGTATGGATATTTTGCTTCGCTGTTGACAGCAGGGGTAATGGTGTCACTGTACTGTGGCCTCCTCCTGGAGATGCCTGAAGCCCCCATAAATGCTATGGGATTGTGCCTGCTCAGAGGGAGGCCCTGCCCTGGGAGGGACCCAGGGACACTGGCATTTGCTGTCTGCAGTGGTGGCCTCAGGCATTCCAGGCAAGTGCCGCACCTTCTGTGCTTGCTCTCATCTCTGTGGCAGCTGGTAGTCCCCTAGGTGCACGGCCACATTCTGTTCATGCTGTTCCCATGGACAAGATGTAGGTGGACAGCACTGCTTGCTTGTGTGTGTGTGTGTGTGTGTGTGTGTGTGTGTGTGTGTGTGTGTAACCAGGGATTGAACTCAGGCCCTTGTGCTTGCCAAGGAAGCGCTTATTCCACTGAGCCATCTCCCCGGCCCCGGTGCTGCTTTCATGGTTGGGTAAAAGCAGCTGGGTAACAGGGAGGGGCT